GCCCGCCCGTGAGGCGGAGCCGCCTGAGGGGCCGCGGCCTCCTGAGGGGCTCCTCGAGGGCCGAGCTGGGCCGCCGTTCTACAAATCTGCCGACAACACACCCAGAAATATTTAATTGCAGATTAAATTGGGACCGTCGTTAAAGGGAGCAGTCTTTTTTGAATGTTAGAAATGCTTTGTCAATGGGGATTTTGTTTTTTCTTAACATTCCTTTAAACCCCTGTGTTTTGAGAGCAGTTAGAGGTGGCTCTGCTGGCCATGGGCCGTGTTCAGGTGCCAGCTTTACTGAACAGGATAATGACAGTGGGTCATGACGATATCATGTAATAAGTGAAAGCTTTGAAGCTTGCTTTGGCAGTGCAAGAGATGTTACCCTTTCCCTCCCCACAAGCTAGGGTTTTTTTCAATGTATTTCTGAATATAATTGTTGAAGTAGAGTGTGCATGGTTTTCAGGAGGGCAAAGTTTATTGCAGGTTAAAATTCCAGTGTTTATTTAGTTTTTCAGTGAGTTTGTTTTCTTTTTTTAGAGGTTTTAAGCAGGAGAGCAGTCAGGAAAGAGGTGGTTTTGTGCTGTCTCAACTCCAGAAACTCAGAAGTAATAGCAAATGCACACATTTGAATTATTAATGGGGGAAAAAAGAAGTTTTAGAGTACCTTAGTAGAAAGCACAGCATCTTCTCTCCTACTAAATGCTGAAACATCAGATGAGATCAGGTCTCTCTTATCAGTAAAGCCTAATGCACATCTTTAGATGTTCAAGATAGTTTTTTTGCCTGCAGGAAAGAAAGGAGAGAGGAGTCATTGCAATTTTTTTTAATGGAGTAATCTGAGTTTTATTAACTGTTTTCTGTTGAGATTAGAATTTGAGGAACAAATTAATGAGGTGATAAACTAGATCCTCCCATGTCAGCACAATATAGTAGCTTTCATATCACTGCATTTTTCAACTCCACCTTTCCCCACCCTTTTTTTAACATCCTGGTGGCACTGGATATATAAAGATACTTCTTTCCAAGTAGCTTTTTCACTCATGGTCTTTTTTCTACCTTCCACCCTCGGTGCAGTATTTTATTTAGGCACCCTCCCTCTGGCCCCGGCAGTCTCCTTTGAGGACACTGTCACTGCTGTGCCCTGGATCAACTGCTGAGATTGCAGGGAGGGGGCCATTCGAAAGCTGTAGCCTGTGCTCTTCACTTACACCACTCTTTTCTTCCTTCATCTCTTCTTCCCCAGAGTAACACAGACTTCTTGCTGTTACCTGATTCTCCATTCCAAGGGCTGGACAAGTTTTAATATCAAACAGAAGTGAACTTTTTTCTAAAAAAAAAGAATGATGTGTGTCCTTAAGAATTGGAAGAGAGCAGGCTAGGGAAGGGGGGCATTTTACCAAGTACTTTTTCTGGTCTACTGAATAGCAGCTTTAACTGAAAACTTTGTTACTGGGGGAAAACGTTGGGCTAAAGTATGAGGAAGAAAGATTTTTGTTCGTGTTGGTCCATATTTTGTCACGTTTGGAGAAGTTTCTATTTGCTTTCCCTGAGTTTTGGATCATTTACAAGTATCTAGCTAATTGAACAAAGAACGTGGTAACTTCTGTTTGTTTTTCTGCTCCCTGTTACAGATCTCGATCGAGTATAGCATCATGTACAAGTGTAAGCACACAAACTGCTTCTGACGATCAGGTTGTCAAATTCTGGGATGAACTCAGTTTGGTTGGCTTACCAGATGACATTGATGTCCAAGCCTTATTTGAGCCAACAGGTAAGATGGTGCTCTCCTCCTTTTTTCCTCATCCAGTAGTAGTTCAGTAGCTACAGCGACAGTGAGGGAGGTTTTTCAGCTGTTGGTTTTCTATTCTCTGGTGTTTGTCAAGGGTTTGATGATGCTTTTGTAGCTTTTGCCGGTGTTACATGGTGTTTTTGGATGGTCTCTTCAAGTACAGGGCAGAATCATTGTCAGCTTTGTACAGGGAAATACTCGTAATCCACTGCTGAACTGGTGTTCAGGTAGTAATATCTTCAGTATCATGATTCTGTTTTGGGGAGAAAAGGAAAAAGAAATGAGATTAATATAATTCTTGAAGTCCTAATCTTTACTTAATCTCCTGCTGCTAATACAAGGTTATCAGAAATAATGGAAGGGAAGATTTAAAAGAGCAATATTGATAGAATAATAGAGGCATAATACACTTGCAGGTTTTCTGTCAGAAAATGTTAGGTTTGTGATCTTCTCTTTCAATTTAATGGAACTTTTCTTTTTACTTAGTTATGAATTACTTTTTCAGGAAGCATTTATGGCCAGATGCTTTGATGCTGGTAGTCTACTCATGTATTTTGCCTCAAAAATGGGAATGTATCTGTGCAATAACATAAATGACATTCTTTCATGAGTGTGGAAACACATTTCAAAGTCTTAGTTAAAAACAAAAAAATAAAATTTAATGGTTTGTTTTAAATAGTTTTACCATAGCATGCATGGATGGGCAGGGATGTTTATCAGTCTAAATTTTTTTAAGTTCTTTTTATCATTTGTAAATTACTTCCCAGGCCCTTACAGAGATTCTTGAGGGAGTTTTTTGTTGCTGAATAGTTAAGTTTACCAAATACCTAATTTCAACAGCTGATGTAATGCATCATTTTGAATCTCATGTAAAGCTCTCAGAGAATTCCTGTGGAAGTTTGCATCATTTCTGTTGTTTTTCCCAGAATTAAATTAGAAATGTCCTTTAAGAGATACGTGTTGAATTCTGCAAATTCTGAATTGTTTTGTTATGTAGATAAAGATTTCTAATGGTATCTCTGTCATGCGTTTTGACACAGTTTTCTTGGTCATTTATATGGGGTTTCTGCTCATGCTGTATTTTGAGCTTTTAAAAGCTTTATGTCGAATTCTAAAGCGTCATGTGAGCATATTCTGCATTACCGTACAGATCTGTATCTGGTCCTTGGTAATCATAAGTCAGGGGTACATATATAGACAAATTTATTCCATTTATATTGAATACATTTTCTACAGTGCAATACAAGATGGAATGTAATTCTGCGTATGTCTCGCACACAAACATTGCATAGGCACCCCAGTTATGATTAATATGATCAGGCACCTGGAAATTAAAAACACATACACAGAATGTGCTGAAATAAAGGGGAAGGTGTGTTATGTATCAAAAAACCTGCAGTATATTTAGTGTCTGATAGTACCTGCAGTGTATTTAGTGTGTGATTTTAAGGGCACTAAATGTTGCAACAAGTAAAGCAGGAGGAAGAGAGAATGTTCATTTTATCTGGCAAGTATTTACTACTAGAACTACATTCTGTAGTTACAGGAATTGCTTGACAGAGTCCTACAACCAAAGCTCTTTTTCTGTCCTCATGCATTAGGTCATTGCTGGGCTCATCACCGCTGTGCGGAGTGGTCATTGGGAGTCTGCCAGACTGAAGAGCAGCTATCGGTGAACGTGGACAAAGCTGTTGTCTCAGGGAGCACAGAAGTGAGTAAAAAAGACTTGAGTGCTCAATCCAGTAAGAAAATGGGGGCTGGGGATTGAAAAAAGAGGCAGCAGACTAATGGAGTACGAGATGATGTGACCAAAAATACCCACATACGGATCTCTGAGCTCACTTTTATAATAAGGTCTCTTAGGACAGGTCTTCATCATAAGATCTACTGTTGGAGTTTGGTAAAAAGACTTAGAAGTTGCATGGAATATATCATTCATTAACTGGAATGCAGAAAGTGCCTAGCTGATGAAAACAGATTGCAGACAAAAGAAGAGTTGAGTTCAAATTAGCAAATGCCCTGCTAAGTAGAGGAAATACCCACTTTGTCAGTTTATATTCTGAAAGTGTGTATCACAAATACAGGAAAAATAATTCTCAATTACTTTCATACCAGTTTCAAAAAGCAGGTTGGTATAGGAAGGTTAATGTTTACCACAAAGCCTATGTTGTTGCTTTAAATATTGATAGAAATACGTATATAAGTATTTAGTTTTTTCATTTGAAATAGTAATGTATTTGGAAAAGTAGGTATATTTGAAAAGAACAGATTCCTTCTGGTGTCATATTCTGATACCATTTTGGAATGATGAAGAGACCTATTTTACATTGGTTTTACTACACGTAGCTCTAGTTTTTTGGTTGTATTTAATTATGTCTGCCACTTAAATAGTTTTAGTTTTTTCTCTGTTAATCAGCCATGGTATCAGTAATTTTTGCTGGTTTTCCCATGATCATGCTTAGGCTTATTTTTACTTGATTCTTCAAGTTTTTTATGCGTTATATTAAAATAAAAAAAAATAAATGCAGAAGATCTCAGTAAATGCTCTCCATTGTGTGGACTAAAAAGCTACTTTAAATCAGTCTTTCAATACGAGGCCAAGTTGCGCCTGCAACTTTTACATAGACTCATATTGAATAAATGCTTTGTTTGAATAATTTAAATTGATTTCTATGTCTCTGCTTTCAAAAGAAAAGACTATTCAGAATGAATGAACCTGACAATATTAAGTTCTGAATGAGCTTGTAGATGTTAAAGTATTTGTATGTGTGTGTGCATGTATAAAAAATTATAGAAAGAATGGAAAGAACATCCAAAATGGGTTACTTTAAAAAGACAACCTGACATCTCCCTGCTGAAAAGTTTTTGTCTCATTGTTTCTGGGAGGTGATGGTGGCTTGTAGTCATTCTGTGATCAGGTCGTTCCCATCTGTAGTCACTGTCATGATGATATTTTGGGTTCTAACAGAAATCCTTGCTGCAGTGTGCAGGCTTGAATTGTGCTCTATTTGATTTCATCCCGTTTCCATTATTTTGGTTCTGTTTCTTTGTTTATGGTCTTGTGCTCTTCCTCCATGCCTCAGGGTGATGGTGCCTCACTTTCACATCATTAGTGCTTTTTAAGTTTAGTGTAGATGTTTATAAAGCAAATATTTAAATAAGAATTCTTGAAGAATCTCACATCTTTCTGGTGGGATGGTTTCCAGCCCTATCTTTTTGTGTGCTGCTCTGTAGCTTCTCTAATAATCTTTTCAAATTCTGCAAGTAATTTTTTCAGTACTCCTGTAGGATGTTACAGTGCGATGCAGAGAGATGAGAGAAATCTGAATTGAGAGCCATTCTGCGTATTTTCTATTCAATCTCTGCTGAAACCGTTGAGAAACTTTCTTTGCTGGAATAAAACATTCAGGCAGCAAAGAATGATGTTTTGGTTATTCTCTTTAATCCTTCTGGTGACATCCCCACAAGGGAGAGCAGAGTAAAAGCACAACTGTGATTGATTCTGGAGGAATAGCGAGACAAAATGGGACATCTTTATCCCACGAGCTCACCAGGGAATTCTTGCTTTTAGTGTTTTTCAAGAAATGAGGAGCAAACTCTTCTGTGGTTCTGTGTTCCTCACCATTGAGCTGCAATCTGGGGGTTGCTCCAAGAGTCTGTGTGTTGGCAGCCCAAGTACTCCCATGTTTCCCTGTGTCCAGGCTGTAGTGCTTGGTAATAATAATTTTTGCACTGCTTTTTAGCGAGTCACTAAGCTAAAGAAGACACAGAGAAGTATGAGGTGCCGGTTATCCTGTGTGACAGTGGAAAGGCTTAAGGGAAGAAATGTTCTTTGCATGAGATATTTTAAGAAGTTTTGAATGAAAGGTATAGCAATTAATGTAAGTGTTTGTGTTGACTGCTGCTTGTGCTAAAATTTTGTGCTTCTTTCTAATGTGATGTTACTGCATTTTAAAAGTAAAGTTTCTGTTTAAACGTTCTGAGCGCTGTTGGCAATGCAGATGCCAGGATGTTCTCAGGGCATACAGAAAACCAATTTAAATACAAACAAGCTGTATGCTGTTTCCTCTACTTGCCACCAAATTTGCTTTGGTTTTTTGCTGTTTGTGTAGTTGGGGATTTCTGTCTTGGAAGTCCCTCTGGCATGACATGGGTTTGTGATGTGGTCTGCAGCACTGACATCTTTCCTTAGCTGGGAAAGTACCTTTTCCTTTCCTTATGGACAGATTAATTTTTGACATGTAATAGATTTTTCTTGATAGTGTAGCCCGTTGGTTTAGGTCTTTTAATTTGTGGAGAGCGTTCTGGGGGCTGTTCTTACCTTGAAGGTCTCTTTAATTTCAAAGTTCCATCCATGTTTCTCATTAGTTGGGCTGCCTATTGTTTGCAAATCTGTTTTAAGTGGATATGACAGTGTTTCTTATTACTCTGTTTACCAGTTGAGATGTCCATTTGGCTTCACTGAGCTTGTGATTGCATTAATAAGGCTTGTGTGGACATATTTCGTTGACCTATTCCAAAGTATGTATGTCAATTAATTTTGTTTTCTTCGTGGCCTGTGTTTGCTGAAGGTTTAGAATACAACACTGCATAGATCTCAGCATCTGAGTGTGTTTCACAAAATACCCTGCTTAGTGTCTGTCTTCTTCAGTTCTTTTGATTCTCTCGTTTTGAAGGCCTGGCAATTTATTCAGTGCGACATCTGACCAATTTGTTGTACGTATTTGTGTCTGGGCATAGGTGGGTTCCTTGACTTTGAAGGAAAGTCTTGGGTTTGCCTCTCTTCACCGAGTGCACATACATACATCTGTGTATGTGAGTGTTTGAAATCTTGTGCCTCCTGTTGTTTTATAACGACTGGCAAATAAAAGCTGAAATACACAGTTAAGTCTATGGTGGTGGATGTGCTCTAGCGCTTCCGGGTGGTACAGGGAGAGAAAAAACTTCCACTGGTTTATTTCATCCAAAACTGAACCAAATTGCTTGTAATTCAGAAGTGCTCTACTCAGTACATAAAAATTACCATAGGAAAGAAGCTACCATAGTCAGCTTTTTGAAGATAGACTTTTATTAGTGAGGTGTTTATACAGGTATTTGTGGTAAGATGCAAAGACAGTTTGAAATGGAGACTCAGTGAAAGAAACTAAGCAAAGAAAAATGATTGACCGGAATTCAGAGTTTTTGCTAAAAAAAAAATACAGATGTGGACAAGCAGAGTTTTCTGCTTTTTCTTGTATTTCTGGCCTCAGTCTTATGCTTTCTTGACTATGCTGCTTTTTGATACTTGGAAAGGTGAAGTTACTGGCATTGCCATTTAAAATGGAGGCCTCTAGGGCTTGCATCTGCTCAGCTTTTAACAAGAGTGGTTTCTGAAATATTTTCAGGTATTTTTAAATGCTGCTTTATAATTTCCTTGTTTATTTTACATTTACTGAGTAGGTGGCTGTTTCTTTGCAGTCACTAAGGAAATAACGCTTACTCCTTGTCTGCTTTACAGTGTCTAGCCATAGCTCTTCTGTGTGCTGCAAGTACGGTGGGCTGCTTTTTCTGCCCAATACGTAGCTCAGTCCAGGAAGTGTGGATTTAAGGAAGATGTGGTAGATGATGTGTTTAACCACCTCTGAACAAGAAAGGAAGGCAGTGGTGACTTTCCCAGCCAACTTTCTCTTCTGATAAGGTGTAGAAAGCAGTTTACAAGTCTGGGAGAATTTGTTAAGGACACTGAAGTCAAAGAAGGTGGTGGTGGAAACCAAGGAGGAGCTTCCTGTCTACTTAAAGACTGAATAGGTGAAACATGCTAGTAATTGAGTGTCTAAAGCAGTCATTTCAGAATACTGTATTACTCGGTTTCCATTGCATTCTGTTTGCTTTGAAATTCTCTATAGCTCTTTGCATATTTATCTACTTCACAGCTTTATTCTTTTTTCAGTAAGTCAAGTGTTTCTTCAGGACCAAGACTTTTGCAGCCAGACAGCTGAGAACTTGCTGTCTTCTTCTCCCCCACCATCCATTTTTGGTAGTTAATCAGGGCAGTATCTCCTCTGTACAAGGCAGCTGTTTCAGCCCCTGCTGCTTCTGCAGGCTGTGTTTGGCACGGTGTCGTTGCTGAGAACCGTAGGAGTTGTTGCTGTGCGTAGAGGCGAGCTAATCAATGGTATCTTGCCTTGTTCCAGACTCCAAGCGATTGCTGTTTTGACACTCCTCTCTCCTCTAAGCCCTTTTCACATGGCAACGCAGCCTTGAAAATGTTTTTAAGGCAGCTTCCCTTGAATTCTGTCACCAGAGGTAGGAGATGGTGGTGTTTGTAGATGCTTCCAAGTTAGGGCAATGTTACCAGGCTCGCATGTTAAAACCTCACTCAAATTGTTTCTTAAAGCCATTTCCCTCTACTTTTTCTTTAAATTTTTTGCTCAAGACTCTATTTTAGCATGATGCTTACCAAGCTAAACTATAAAGATAGAAATTCAGGGGAAAGTTGGAAGCCATTTAAAATGCTTATACTTTTATTTCAAAGTGTTTGTCCATATTTTGAATGTATCTTCACCTCTTAGCCTCGTGCACTTGTAGTCTTGTTGAGACGTGACCATGGTTTTAGTGGTTGTGTGTGTATGTTTCCCTGTGCTGCTTTAAGTTGAAAACTGATTTGGCTAAACTTGATACTTCCTTTTGTTGTTCCTTGTATGTAAAGATGAGCATCAACATCTTTGTTCACTGTTGACTTCATCGCTATGGATGGTTGTGT